AACTGAATCACTTTGCTGTACACCTGAAACTAAGACATTGTAAATCAATTATACTTCAATAAATAAATAAAGTTATATTATATATATATAATATATATATATATATATATATAGAGAGAGAGAGAGAGAGAGAGAGAGAGAGACAGAGAGAGAGACAGAGACAGAGAGAGACAGAGAGATAGAGACAGAGAGAGAGAGATTTAGAGACTGTGTATCCAAAGCAAGATTTTTAGCAGGTAGTTTACATACTTTGAAGCTGGCATACGATACTATTTATTGAAATCTACACTTAGAAATGGTGCATCTGGCCAATGTGGAGAATGCTATATATAAAAAGCCTCCTCATGGTACCAGATTCCTGAATCATGGGCCTTAGACAATAATCCTCATCTGTGATCTGGGTTCTAAGATGCATGCTAGTATGACTTATATTTAGAGCATTAGATTGAGAACAAAAACCTGTTCTTGGCTTTCTTCATGACTGAAAGAAGAAAGATATTTAACATGAATTTAGGTGGTAAATGGTTAAAAATAAATATGTATATAAGGAACAGTGATTTACAGCATAGAACAGGAAGTTATACACAATATCTTATAATAACCCATAATGGAGTATAATCTGCAAAAAAAACGGAATCACTATGCTGTACACCTAAAACCAACACAATACTATAAATGAACTATACTTCAAGAAAAAAAAAGAGTTGAACAAGGGAAAAGGTATAATTTTTACAATTAGAAATAATATTCTCAATTTTAAAAGTGCACATCTCATCACAGTCTAAGTTTTATACTGAAATATTTCCCCAACAGGCAAGAACAACAACAAAATCATAGGTAATAATACTATGATATCTAATAATCTAAAGAGTCCTACTGCATGAATTTTGTTTAGTGTATCATACACCTCAGATATAACTGACTTAAAGTTTCTTTAAAAAAAACAATTGTCTCATTGGTAATGATTATTTGTTCACCTTTTCTGACTATACACTTAGAAATAAATATTCTGTGGTAGATTATCTTGTTTTAGCACCATGTTATCCTACAATTTATTAGTTTTAAAAATACTGCAAAATCAACAGGAAAAACAGTTAAAATATAGAAGGTAGAAAGTGCTTAATAATGTTGGAAAAAATGAAATATTCCTAAAAGTGAATATAGAGCAGAGTTCCCCACTTCTTTTCCTGAGGTCAGTGTCCTACATTCTTCCACCTAAACACCAAAGAAACCTCAGTCAATCCTGGGGTTTAACTCCAGGTAAACCCGGGTTTCTCTTTTTCTGGAGGAAAGTATGGGTCACTGTGTGAGCTGTTAAAGCCACAGAGTGAGGAGTCCGAGGAGAGGACTGAAGCTATGTGGGAAGACTTGTGGTTTGCCCCGAATGGGGGACAAGGGACACACTCCGTAACTGAGGACCCCTGTTTTCACAACATCAAGTTCACAACTGTCAGTAAATTCAGATTGAAAAAGACCTTAAAATATCAGAGTATATTTTAAGAAAGGTAAGAAGGGTATTTTGCTAAGGCTTTACCTACCGTGAAATTAAAGAAAGAAAAAACCCTCTCAGTTCTACATGTGGATCTAAAAGATCTTTACCATCCAAATTATGTCCCTAGAAGTCCACTCAAGGTATGTAATACCAATGGTGTCAGATGACAGCAAAACATGCATGTCTCATGGTATTTTGCAGACATATAAAATATTCACTCAAAAATCAAGCAATAGTGATGTGTCTTCAAAACCATTTTACAGTTAAAAAATAGACTTTAAGGACATGCTTTTACAATGAACATGAAAATAGACCATGCTTCCATTTCTGTGCTTTTGATTGCGCTTCCTTGTTTCCTTGGCTAAACAGCAACGCATTCATAGCAGTCACACAAGATTGTTTGAATTCTCTTTTGGATGTCCCACATTTTGGTATTTAAAAAAGGAGTTATTTAACACAATCTCGGAGAAGCAGTGAAATTCTCTGCCATGTGAATCATCACCCAGTAGTAATCCCTCCCCCTCCCCCAATTTAGAACTAGTGGTCAATTTTACATAGAACAGAATGACACTCTCCAGGCTTCCTGCAGGGACAGGCCAGCTGTGTCAGGATCTAATGCATTGGTCATCTGCCCGGGGCATTTCTGGCTGTCTTGCCCAGCACTGATTTAATTAACAGAGACACTCTTAGGAGGCCATTAGATGTTGACAAAAGGGGAATTTTCTTTTGATTCATCAATAGCTTCATTAATGCTAAAACCATACTCTTAAGCATCAGAAAAATAATGTGCTCTTCTTAAACACCAAAATAACTTCAATATGGGGATCTGCTTTTGAAATATAAAAAAGCGATTTGATTAACAATTAAGCAATAAAAATAATGTTAATTAGAACTTAATTGTTTCTATGGTGACAAAGGATGGATGCACCATAACTTTAAAGAAACTCCCTAAATAGCACTACATTTGAATTTTAACTCCTATGTTGTGCGGCGATTGCAAATATACTCTGAATGGCAGTTCTAATGAAAAAATATATATATTGTTGGCTCTGCAATACTGAACTGAAAATGTTCTATCAGAATGCGTTTTTAAATAAAATTATACAGATGTTTCTTGTTTGTGCTAATAGTCATCAATGTGTTTATGATAGGTTTCTATTGTTTTCCACCCTCTGGAGAAGTTTTGAAAAGGACATACAAGAGAATAGTGGAGATTGGTTACCTTGTTCACAGAACCGGCCGGTGAAATGGAGCGGACAGTCGCACTGGAAGGAGAAGACGCCCCGCGGGAGGAGGACGGTGCGGCAGGTGCCCCCGTGGTGACACACGAGCCCCTGACACGTGGCTGGCGCCGGGCGGGGGACGAGCGAGGCCCCCGGGGAACCGGCCCTTCCTGCGGCCCCAGGAGGAGGGACAGACGCGGACGTTGCTGACAGCATAGAATCCCGGGATCTAGATTTATAAACAGATCAGAAAAAAATAGTATAAGTAGAAGAGCCAGGACCTTAAATAGAAATAACAGAAACTTTGGTTTAAAATAAGAGGGAGATAAAACCAGTAGTCATCCAAGGTTCAGCTGAGGGCACACAGAATTGTCACGTTTGTTCTACAATTGTAGGATTTATAAATGTTGCAAATGGGACCGTGGGGGTATCGTGGAGTCAAGATACTTGTTTCTTCTGAGAAGCTGCATTAATTTCCTCAAAGTCCTGAGAAACCTGAATGCATCTGCCTGTATAAGCCTGAGTCAGTTCTCTAACGTAAAATAATTCAAATTTGGGCTAAACATAGTTCTACTTCAGCTCTTCTAAACCATGTGAGCCTAAGATGAAGAATTTAGACCATGTGACATTTTAGTGGTAAAACTGCTTGAACTTGAACTATTTCTAGGGTGATTGCTAGCAATGTATATTTTTCAAAGTCACTTTCATTCATTTTAGGAGTTAACCAAAAGATATGCTACAAATTACTCTCTCATTTTTTTCACCAATTTTACTGCCAGTTTAATTTTTTTCTTCCCTAAAAACTAATGAACTGAAACCAATTTCCTTTGAATTACTGTAAATTGAAATTCCCTACTTTTACATTCAAAGCGTCTTGATAATCGAATTCCTCTCTGCTTTCCAGCCTGTTTTATCATGATTCCTAATAAGTGCCTTAACTTCTCTCAAACCAAATGAGATTACTATTCCTTAAAGACCCAGGCTTTCCTAATTTTTGAAGTTTGTTCAAACCACTTTCTATGCATTGTTGTTCCTCTATTCCTGTGTATATTTCATCTAACGTGCCAAGTCAAGATCTCCATCATTTCCTCAACACAGCCTTGTTGGTTGCTCTTAGCCCACCAAGGTGAAATTGATGTTTCTCGCCTTTCTAAAATTCCATGACGTCATTGTACCACTGCTAGAATATTTCCCACCTGCTTGTAGTATTATTATTTTATATACATACTTCTACTAGGTTGTATGTACACCGGTCACTATTTTTTCCATTTTTCTTCCACACACAGATTCCTCATTTTGTCAGAATTCCCTATTCTTAGTAGAGACTTTATTAAGTATTTGTTGAATTAATGTCTTCACTGTACTCCTGAGTGTTTTGTGTTGTTTGAGAATCAGTGCTTCTGAATTTTTTTTAACTTTTTATTTTATATTATAGTTGATTAACGATGTGTTACCTTCAGTTGTACAACAAAGTGATTCAGTTATCCATATACATGTATCTATTCTTTTTCAAATTGAAAGTTTCACTTCACAAAATCATTGAGCGTTATCTTTTAAATGTAAAAAATCTTGCTGCAATAAAAATAATCAACAATTTAACTATCTGAGTAAATCTTTATTTTGTACACTGTTATAAAGATAAAATCTTGGTAAAAGAAGTCAGTTCAAAAATATTGTCTGAGTGACAATTAGAGATAGTTATTTTTGTGTCTACTTTGTATTCATATGTCAACTTACTGGAATAAAAAGCTGAGGAAAGTGAAATAGATGATTAATAAAAACATTTTACCAAAATAATGTTAATGTGCAGGTCAGTTTCTTTTGTTTTACAGTCCTTTTACAACCTGAAATTCTTCTTTATGTTGTTTATCATAATTTGTAACTGTGAAGAAAAGAAAATGTTGCCCGTGTTCCAGTTCTACAAGGATCAAGCCATTCGCCACTGCAGTTGCCCACTGACACTGCGCCTTTCAGGGAATTCAGGATGGAGAAAACAGGAAGCATTCTGTGCTTTGCACACTGGCCCTAGGTAGTTAGGATGCACATCTAAGGAAAGATTTCAGTGAGCCCGGATTCTTGCATCTTCCCATACACAGAAAAGCACTAAAATCATTAATTTGAGGTGTCTGTTCTTTGTAAGTAGCAGTGATCTTCTGATGTTTGACTACATATTTTTTTCCCAGTGAAAAATACATATATGTCTTGGCTCCCCCCTTACCTCTTTGAACAGTTTCTCAGAGCTTGCTGAGAGTCTGCCTCCCAGGCTGTAGTCCTTAGTAAGACACTGAAAGCTCAACTCACAGCTCTTATGCTGTGTATTTTTTTAAGGTGACATAACCATATTTTAATTTTTATAGTTGTTAAGCCTGACTCTCTTCTTTCTGCTCTGGACTGCAATCTGCTCTTTTCTTCATCATATCCCTAACAACAATGCTTGTTCCCAAGTAACCTCTCTGATAAATATTTTATAAATGAATTTGAATCATTTTTGTAAATATGCAATGTATCACTCCACTCACCAGAAAAATAGCAAGTAAAAATAATTTGGTTAGCTTGGGTCAATTCATAACTCCATTACATAGCTTTTTAGTTTTATAGATAATATAAAATCTAACAGCTTTGATGTAACTTTACAATCAGCTTTCTCTGATTTCATTCTATTGGATTAGTGTAGTTCTCCCCATTTGTACTTGCAATATGTTTGTCCCTATAAGGTAACTTCCGTCAAGTTAAATGGCAATGCTAATTTGAATTACATGGGATTTATTACTCAGCATTTCTTGTTTTAATTTAATTTTTAGTTTTAGTGTTTCTGAATGATTTCACCATTTTCTCTAACTCTTGCTGTGGACTTCATGAACTTCAGTCAATCACATTTTTCTCAGGAATAAATTAGACTGAATTAAATGTCACTAGTTCTTTCTCCTACTGTAGCTGCTCAGGGAGCACATGTCTCACCTGAAAAAATCAATGTGTTGCACATTTCAGTTGCTAACTGATTACACAGAAGTAATTACTATCAATTGATCCATCAATTAAAATGTCAGAATCATAAATCAACATTTGAAAACTGCATTAACCAGATACATTTTATCTTATTACAATCAAATTTTATATCTGATATATTACTCTTAATAGTCCTTGACTTTCAGTATTTTTTCACTAGTTATAAATTATGCCATGAATTTACCTATTTTAGAATTTAGAATTAAAATAAATAAAATTTATTCAACTTATATATTTTACAAGAAACAAAATATTTGTTCTGGTTGTTAAATTTTAACTTACTTTTACATAAAAGGTTAAAAATATAAAGTACATGTGGATGTTTATTAAGCACAACCTGATGACATCATATTAATATAATTAGCAATGTGAAAAAGGAGCACTAAAATTATAGTTCTTTTTAATTGTAAAAATCATGAATGTATGAGAGCTCAGAACTAAATCAAGGCTCAGGGTTTTCAAAATTGTTTTTAAAATAAACAGTACTGTAAAGATTGAACTTCTTTGTCTTTCTTAACTAAATACTTGATTTACTATAAGCCCAAAATAATAAGCCTGAAGAATCTGCTTGATTGTCTCTTGGATAACTTCGGACAAAAGTACAGTGATGGGCCAGTCACTGTTATAACAAGTAGTAAGCACTCGAGTCTTTTTCTGTATGAATTATTGATTAAATAAGATATGTTAATTTTATTCATAATCAAGCCTGATCCTTAGAGGAAGACACTTGATGTGACAGCGATTTCTAATCTCAGGGGCAGGGGTGGGGGGAGCTCTCAGTGGAGGAGAGGACGCTCCACTCTTTGCCCCTCTCCTCCAGGGGCTCTACGGAATCCCCTGAGGAGGGCAGCAGCTTGAGGGGTTTGCTTCTTGTCAGCAGACACTTGTCTGGCCTCAGTTTCTTAGAAGGAGGAATGGGCTTGCTCACAAGTGTAAATCCTGGAACCCGCTCACAAGTAGAGAAGGAGAATCTTTAAAATCATGATGAAGTATTCAAAGAAAGAAAGAAACTGATCTAGAGAAATTTTGACCTTGTGGCTATTAATAGTGAAGGGGAAGAAAAGTTTTCAAATCATTACAGATTTTTAAAAGCAGTAAAATAAATGTGTTATAAACTAGGCAACAAAAAACCTGATTTACAAATAATATGTATAGATACTTTTTTTATTTACAAAAGTGAGAATTATAGTATAAACACTCGTATTCCAGTCTGCTTTGTCTTTTCACTACTAGAATATTCTGCTCTTTATTTTTTCACCTAAAAATTATGCTTAGCAGACTGCACTGTCAGTGAATACAATTCTTGATTTTCCTTTTAAAAGCTGCATAGTGTTGTATTGTTTGGATATACACCACTGATTCTATCAGTTTGGAGTTAATATATTTAAACTATTTCAGATTTTCCCTCTGTTATCCAGATCATAAATTAATGTTAATAACTATATCAAGATATAATTTACAAACTAAAATGAACCCATTTAAAATGCAAGTTTTAGTGGATCCAGAGTTGTGCAACTATCACCACAGTATAATTTTATATTTTGTCATTCCCCGAAGAAATCCCACATCCATCAGCGCCACCTTTAGCCTACTTTCTGTCTCTATAGATTTGTCAATTTTGGACATCATATAAATGGAATCACATAATATGTGGTCTTTTGTGCTGGGCTTCATCACTTACCATAATGTTTTTAAGGTTCATCCATGTTTTTGCATGTAAAAGAACTTTATTCCCTTTTATTATTGACATTTTATTATCCATTCATTAATTGATGGTAATTTTGGGCTGTTTTTACTTTTGCCTACTATGAACAATGCTACTATGAACCTTCATGTCCAAGTTATTGTCTGCATTTTCTTGGGTATATATACCTAGGAGTAGAATTGCTTGATCGTATATCCCATGTTTAACATTTAGAGCAACAGCTGAACTATTTTCCAAAGAAACTGCACCACTTTCCATTCCTACCAGAAAAATATGAGAATTCTAATTTCACCACATGCTCATTGGATTATATATTCTTAGAAGAATTATGTACATTTAATTTTGTATGTATATAGCACAGATATATATTTATTTACATTAACACTTAGTAAACTGTAATGATTTATTCCAAAGTATTGCTTCATTTCCCTCAACTATTCTCTTTGTAGTCTTTCTAAAGCCCTTTTTATTTTTTTTAAAGTTACTATTTATTTATTTATTTATGGCCACACTGAGTG